TCTGTGGAATATTACTGCCTCAGCATTTGCCTAAGTGATCCAAGGAAACCATAGAAAAACTTGGATCAAGGCAGACGGACCCGGAATCGAACCGGCGTCCTTCCGAATACTAAGCAATGGTCTAAACCTCTAGGCCATGCCGCTCGGTTCCAAAGCTAGAGCAACCCACATCCTTAACTATTTGCGAACAGTAATGTCTACCTCTACCCCTCCTAACTCCTGTTTCTGTCTCTAATATGTCTCTGACTAGACCTTCATGCCTGAGAAGGTCTCCTACTTAACCTATCTCGCCTTTTTCTTGTTGATTTCCTCCGTTCTCTTACTCTTTCTAATACCTCTTCAGTTTTAACCTTCTCTATCCACGGTATCCTCATCATTCGCCTGTAACACCACATTTCGAACGCTTCTAACGTTTTCAATTCTCATATCCAGACTTTAATAAACCCTTTATTGTAACGTGTGACGCATCAAACGTAGGACTAGGAGCCGTTTTATCCCAAGGTCTTATAGGTCTCATAGAAGAGACTTCTTTTTATTAAAGGCGACACGACCCTGCGCTATCCTCTGCTTTATATCCCTACTACTCCTTCCATCCTGACTTATCTGACTTCCTAGGTATCTAAAATCAGCCACTTCTTCTAATTTTTCGTCTCCTATCTTTATATTCGCTCTTTCCCTACTTTTTCTTCCCTTGCATATCAGTATTTTAGTTTTACTTTTATTTATTTTCATACAGTACTGATCTGTCAGTACCGCTTCCATTTTATTTAAAGCTATCTCTAGGTCCTCCTTGCTAGATGCTAATACTGCTATATCATCTGCAAATCTAAGCATACTAATCTTTTGCCCTTGCACATCTATCCCTACAGTTGTACTGTCTTTAATGATGTTGATGGCGTCTTCGATGTATAGATTAAAAAGTAGCGGTGACAGTGTGCATCCCTGCCTGACTCCCTTCCCAATATTTACTTCTCTACGTTGCATCCCCAGCTCTATAACTGCCTGTTGCTCTTTATACAAACTAAGTACCACAATTCTATCTTTGTAATTCATCCCTACATTTTTAAGTATATTTAACATCTTGTCCCATTTAACATTGTCAAAAGCTTTCTCTAAATCTACAAATCCTATGTACGCACTCTTTCCTTTTTCTATCGTTTTCTCTATTGCTACCCTCCCGCGTTCCTCTATTTCTTCTAAACCCAAATTGATCTTCCCCTAATAGTTCTTCCGCCCTTTTTTCCATCCTCCTCTGTACAATTCTAGTTAAGATTTTTGACGCATGGGAAGTTAAGCTAATTGTTCGAAATTTCTCGCACCTATCCGCGCCCCTTTTCTTAGGTAATGTTACTACTACGTTCCGTTTATAATCCTCTGGAACTATCCCCGTTTCGTAAATATTCTTTCTGATACCTCTCCATTTTGAACCTTCTCTATCCACGGTATCCTCATCATTCGCCGGTAACACCACATTTCGAACGCTTCTAACCTTTTTTTTTCGTCGCGCCCGCCGTCCACGTTTCGCAACCGTACAGTGGCGCAATCCAAACATACAATTTTAACAATCTTTTTTAAAATTTCGCGAGCATAGCAATGACTTCTTTTTATTAAAGGCAACTTGACCCTGCGCTATCATCTGCTTTGTATCCTTACTACTCCTTCCGTCCTGACTTATCTGACTGTACTTTTTCTTGGTGCCTTATTATTCTTTTAGATTTTTAATGCTCACCTATCTCCACGCCAGCTTCTTTCTTTAATAGATCTCCTAACTCATGGCCTGCGTATAGGTTCTCTGAGTATTCTTTCCACCTGTCTGCCTTTTCCTCATTTTCTATCAAAAATACCCCTACCTTGTTTCTTATATTATTAGTACTATACCTTACATCTCTAAAATTCCTTTTGATTATATTATAAGCCTCATCCGTTTTATCTACTTCAAACTTGTTTTCTATTTCTTTTCACCTCATATCAATCCACCGTTCCTTAGCTGCTCTAAACTTCCTAATTATTATTTGTGTTGACTTACATAAAAGTTTTATTGAGTTATTTCTTTCTATTTTGTAACTATAATAGAATTTAGGTAAGAATTTTGCGAAAATCATGCTACTCTGCTTCTGGTCTTGGTTTTGTTCGTTCAGTTTTGGACTTGGTGATACAAACACTACCAACTCTTGGTTTTGATCTTCGTTTCGTTAATATAGAAGATCAAGGCAACTAAAGACAAAACTGCAAGACCAAGGTCAAGACAATGTTTGCTCACTTCAAACGAAGATACAAACGCGTCAGGCGATATTCCAACGAAGTTTCCATAACTCATGCACTGTAAATATTACACTCGATTCGTAATTAGAACATCGAGCGCACACACAAAATTTTCGGTCACTCTGCACTCTCCAATCACCGGAATTTTGTCTGTATTTACCTAATTCAGCTAGTTTTTTACTCGCTACGTGTTCGCATCATCAAATTTTAAGGAGAAAGAGCACAGTTCGCATTAAAACGCCAAAAATAACTGGCAAGCAAAATAAAATTGAAATTTACAACAGACGCTTATTTACATCTTGCTGTTCGTTTACCTTTCAAAACAGTCATAAGCGGAACAAACAGTGTGCGATTTGCACGATTTACAGGTGACCATAAACTCATAACGAAAACACAACACACACATATACATTTATGTACATACGCAAAAAACATGTGTACATATATGTAAATGTAAAATGTACATGTATGTGTAGTGAATTTAAATAGTACGTATCCATTAGTATGTAGAGGTATCTTAAAATCTCATGGGCCGCGCCACATTTCAAAAACTGTTGACTGTTCACCATGTGCTTCGCCATACAACCAGGGATATACACAGATGTAAAATGGCTTTTTAAAAGTATTTAAATACAAAATGCAAATAGCTTTTGGATTTCTCATTTCAAATATAAAATAGAAAATAGATTTCCGTTTTGAATTTTAAATGCTAAATGCAAAATACGTATTTTCAAAATACTTTTTTGTAGTACCTATTTAATTTTCTACATTAACTTAAGTATAAAATATTTTTTAGAAGAACCTTGTAGGCATTTCTCATTTTTTAAATATAATAATAATAAGTTTTTCTAGACTAATAGTGTGGTGTTTGCATTACATCACCAGCTGCGAAGATTGANCGTTTAAAATAGTGGTGTTTGCATTATATCACCAGCTGCGAAGATTGAGTATGATTAATATTTTTCTGTTTGAAGTGATTGAGATATAGTTTTTCTATCTTTATGTTATAGTTTCTTCAGTTCAGCAGCAAATAATTCTTGTATGTGCTTCCTTATTTACCTTTGTCACACGTTTTAATTGGAAAAAAGACACTGATGCCAAAATAGTTTGTTTAGCGTGAAAGGTCAGAGCCAAAAAGGGTTGCAAATACTTTTATTGATGTAAAATCAACATCAATCATTTTGTATCAAAATATTTACAACCCCGATCTTTTACACATTGTAATAAGAGAAAGAAATAGAATCCATAGTTTCTTTAGCTTTGGGTTCATCTAATAAGTGAAGTTTTTCGAATCGTTTTCTAAGAATTTTGGATTATAGGCATTTATTAGCACACTACAGTAACTTGTAGTTTTCAGTTTTGGCGTATATCAATTCGGTATTGTTTTGCGGGCTGTTTTGTCGTAATTCATAGAATTTCGTAGTTCCTTCTTGATTTGACAGGGGCTGATATCAATTTGGAACTTCAAAATTCCATGGACCATGACATTGAACCCGGAAAACAATATCGATCCGATATTCTAGATTATCCATTTCCAAGAAGTTTAGATTCTTTTGGGCTCTCTTTAGTTAACGAATTAAAAGGCATTCATGGAATGTCTCTTTGTCCCCTTTTTAAGCTTCTAATACTTCAATGGCCAACGTGAGCAACATTCATTCGTCATTTTATATAATGTTTGATCGGTGACACTAGCAAAACTTTTAAAGGTAAAAATGTATTTTACATTTTCATCATTCATTTAAAAAAGAATTTAAATGCAAGTTAAAATAGGTATTTTTTAATTTGTCTTTGCATTTTAAATGCAAGTATTTCAAATAAATTACATCTCTGGATAATACTAATATTACCTATTGAAATTGAGGATACCAATAAGGTAGTACCTAAAAATTTATAGGTTTTACAGTATCAACTTTTTTGATATAAAACCTATATACATGAGTATATACAGTAGGATGCTACACGACTTTTAAATCATCTCTAGACAGGTTGTTTAGAGTCTGATGTAACCACTAACATGCCATGGTTTTCTTTAAATCATCTCTAGACAGGTTGTTTAGAGTCTGATGTAACCACTAACATGCCATTGTTTTCTTTAAATAATCTCTAGACAGGTTGTTTAGAGTCTGATGTAACCACTAACATGCCATGGTTTTCTTTAAATCATCTCTAGACAGGTTGTTTAGAGTCTGATGTAACCACTAACATGCCATTGTTTTCTTTAAATAATCTCTAGACAGGTTGTTTAGAGTCTGATGTAACCACTAACATGCCATGGTTTTCTTTAAATCATCTCTAGACAGGTTGTTTAGAGTCTGATGTAACCACTAACATGCCATTGTTTTCTTTAAATAATCTCTAGACAGGTTGTTTAGAGTCTGATGTAACCACTAACATGCCATGGTTTTCTTTAAATCATCTCTAGACAGGTTGTTTAGAGTCTGATGTAACCACTAACATGCCATTGTTTTCTTTAAATAATCTCTAGACAGGTTGTTTAGAGTCTGATGTAACCACTAACATGCCATGGTTTTCTTTAAATCATCTCTAGACAGGTTGTTTAGAGTCTGATGTAACCACTAACATGCCATTGTTTTCTTTAAATAATCTCTAGACAGGTTGTTTAGAGTCTGATGTAACCACTAACATGCCATGGTTTTCTTTAAATCATCTCTAGACAGGTTGTTTAGAGTCTGATGTAACCACTAACATGCCATNTCCTAAATTTAACACTTAAGCAATGAATTACCCAAAACTCTTTATTGGATTAATATAATTTCTTAATTTTAACATTATTATTAATGTGGTATTAAATAAGCTCTTCGTTAAGGTCAATAAATGGATGATCGATGATGTGTATAATACCATTGGTGCACTCGTAATCTGCCCTATACACTTTAATATTTATTTCACCTCTAATGATGTAGTAATTGTTCCTTTCTTTACGAATGCTAATTATTTCATCTCCGGACATGCTCATCAGGTCAATGTCAGTCCTATTTTCGGACTGAGAAAGGCTTTTCAATCTCTCCATCGAATATTCCAGATTAGACACCACGATGTGCCTTCCCATTACATTTTTCATTTTATGAAACAGGTTTCCGGACAGATCAGTTGAGGACGTGATCAACCCCCTCCAAGCACGATCTCTGGGTACAAAAAGGGTAAACTTCTGATCTTGCTGGTCGACGTCCAAGTACTGGAGAAGCCTCGTTTTTTCAAATAGCGTGAACGAAATGTCAAGGAACGGATCGCTAGTGAGTTTATGAATGACCGGGAGATAAGGGAAGAAGGACAATCTTTTGTCAGAAACCACCAAAGGGCGTTTAATCAAATGTACAACTCCATTCCTAACGGGGATGTTCGGCTTGACCACCTCTACGATCATTTCTCCAATGGGATGCTTTGAATTTCCAACAACAGTATTTGCTTTGACGAAAATCTTTCCACCTTGCTCCATGAAATAGATTAAGACGAAAAGCATTTTACCATCGGCAAGGGTTTCAAAGGGGAAGTTTTTGGGCGTGGGACGAGTGAAGAAAACATAATTCGGAATAATGTGGGCATCTATCACGTCCGCGTCCAACATTTGTAAACGATGTTCTGTAAATCCGTCATCTACAGGAACAAAAAATGTTCCAGATCGATCGACTCTATACAAAGACTCCTTCCGGAGAAGAACCACTTTCTCCCAAAACAGATCAACTTTGTGAGGTCCAATATTCCATAGAACGTTTTTTTCAAAAAAATCGCTAGCTTTAGGTGGTTTCGAAAGCAAGGAGGTGCCTCTCACCACAGGATCCAAAACGTCATCCACGACGTGTAACACTTGAGTGGCCCCATTTCGGGCTGTAGCCATATAATTCGACTTCCCCATAACAATTTTTGCGTTGTTTACGAAAACAGCTCTCTCCTGGTTGGTAATCCAAAGCGGCGGATGTTTGTCGGAGATGGTGTACACAAATTCGGAATTGAGTTCTCCAACGTTCTTCGAGTGCCAACCGAAATGATAGAAAAGAACATCGTCGGAATCGTCAGCGGTGGTACGATTGGCGAATGCTGAATTCACAGGTGCAAAAACTGTCACTTCAGAGTAAGCCAAATACGAAGTGATTATCACGTTTTTCTCTATCGTGCAGTAGAAGTGTGAGAGGTCAGGGTCTTGACCAATCTTAGAAGTTACGGTAAGACGTCTTCCCGAAACTGGCGAAGAGATTACGAGAATTATAACTGAAAGTACGTAAAACGATACACGTTTCATTATGCAGCGTTAGAAACGCATCACAAACTGAACATTAATCGGAAGGAACTGAAATTAGTTATCGAAATGTTTCTATTCCTGAACGCCTGTTTGTTTATGTAAGTCAAGTGGTTTCCATTAAGCCAAAAATTTCGGGGCCAAGTGGAATCTAAAAATGCGTTTCTGGCGCAACGGCTAGCATTCAAATATACTGGAATTAGTTCGTTTATTGGACAGTTATTTATTTTATATGCATGCATCTATCATTTACCAAATGTTACTGGAGTAATTTGAGAAATCCTTTTTAATCGAATTGATACAAAAAGTTAACTTTGGCATAGTTAAGAGCTAGTTCTTGCAAATAGTTTGCCCATATTGTATAAAATATCTTTAGTAAATATACTATACTGTAATTATTGGTATTTAGTGTTTTTCCTTCTTCGCAGGTACAGGTCGGACGCTGGAAGCTGGCGCAAATTTTAAAATGGCGTGGATGCGCGGTGGCAAAAGTAGGCAGTTTTAGGTATAAAGATTGCAGCCCTCATTCTTCAGTATTCCTATCAGGGGCGTAGATTAAATATTTAAAAATAGGGATCAGTGAGCAAATAATAGACAGACAAACAGAAGAACTAATTGTTGATGTTGGTGACAGTGATAGAGATTCCCATGATGACAGTGAATGTGAAAACTAACTATAAAACAAAAGCAATAGGTTAATTTTTTCTTTTTGATAAGTCATGTTTTTACATTATTTTCTAGTACGCTACTGTCCTATCTGTATTAGTACTATAATTTACGCCTACTGAAAGCTTATTTGTGTATCGGTTCCAAGTGACTTACCCAAATAGGTCATAAATGGGCAAGTACCTGCGCGACCGCTCGCGAGCTTCCTTCGTCAGACCTGTAATTCATTGCGAGCTTTGCCAATATTGATCGTTCCTACTATACCTATTGTAATAAGACATGTATCTTAGTTACAGATAAGACGAAAGATAGCAGTGGAAATTACAAAGAATTATTTCAAGAATTGCTTTTGCTACAAATAATATTTAAAGGTTCATTGTGCTTTGACAATTTCGTGTAATTGTTCGCTCTTAAATGTTGTTTTGAAAATGAAACAGAAGCAGAATACTACAGAACAGCGCGATGTGCAATATGCATAACTAATATCCATATCATATTTTCTTTTGTTCTGCCTAAAAGGCTCAAGCTCAAGATGCTACTAATCATTTGAAATGAAAGTAAAAAATATAGTTGTATAGAGATTGAAGTCCAATCTCAAAATTTAAAACAAATTAATTTAATAAACAAAATAACATTATGGGCAGATTAACTTTCCGAAATCAATCCTGAGGCCACACGTTCAAACTTTTCGAATTTTTAACACATTTCATACTTTTGGTAGCAAATGGCAAACCATCGAAGTTTGCACGCAAGTGGACACGCACCTCCATTCCTTTCTATCCTGAGTTAAACTTCGCATTTACCTAAAACTACCTCTACCCCTCCTAACTTCCGTTTCTGCCTCTAACGTGTCTCTGACTAGACCTTCATGCCTGAGAAGGTGTCCTACCAACCTATCTCGCCTTTTTCTTGTTGACTTCCATAGAGTCCTCTGTTCTCTCACTCTTTCTAATACTTCTTCATTTCTAACATTCTCTATGCACGGTATCCTCATCATTCGCCTGTAACACCACATTTCAAACGCTTCTAACCTTTTCTTTTCCGCCGCGTCCACTGTCCATGTTTCACACCCATACAGCGCCGTGCTCCAAACAAACAATCTTTTTCGAATTTCTAAATTAACCGTTCCGTAGCAGAGAAGCGACTTCTTTTTATTGAAGGCAACTCGACCCTGCGCTATCCTCTGCTTCATATCTCTACTACTACTTCCGTCCTGACTTATCTGAATTCCCAGATACCTAAAATCGGCCACTTCTTTTAATCATTCGTCTCTTATCTTTATATTCGCTCTTTCCCTACTTTTTCTTCCCTTGCATACCAGTATTTTTGTTTTACTTATATATATTTTCGTACAATATTGTTTTGTCATTACCGCTACCATTTTATTTAAAGCTATCTCTAACTCCTCCTTGCTTGATGCTAATACTCTTATATCATCTGCAAATAGGTTCTCTAAATATCCATTTCACTTATCTGCCTTTTCCTCATTTTCTATCAAAATGACCCCTGCCTCGTTTCTTATATTATTACTACTGTAACGTACACCTCTAAAATTCCTTTTAATTATATTATACGTCTCATCGGTTTAACATACTTCAATCTTTTCTTCTACTTCTTTACATATCCTATCAAACCACTGTTCCTTAGCTGTCCTACACTTCCTAATTATTTCCCACTTTATAGCCTTATAACAATTTTGTCCTTCTTCGTCTCTCGTGTTTTTTGTATTTTCGCCTTTCTCCTATTAATCCTAAAATCCCATTTGTTATCCAGGGTTTCCTACTGTCGTTTTGTTTAAGACCTAGTATGTCTATAACAACATTACCTATTTACTGAAATTTTGAATTTGCAGTTACAGGTAGATTGGAGATTGGTTTGTGTTCAGTCGGTTAGATAAATCAACCAATCATTTCTTGAACTTTTGCCAAATGCCTCCATGCTTCAGCCAATTCAACTTAATACCTACCGATCACTTCACCGACGCATGATTGGCACAACATGTACGCGTGATATGTATGCATAGCGGCGTTATTATTATAAAAAAAATGTAATTTTATTTAAACAAATTTATTTCTCATAAATTGTGGTAGCATTTATATTTACCTATATATATATTTTTAATTGAATCTAAATAATACATGTTTAAAGATATTCCTAAAAACGTAGGCTTTCACGGCCAAAGTCCCATTGTAGGATAAGTAGGGCCACGTTTGAGGTACAACCAACGGCTGAAGAAGACCTGAACCGATAGGTCCTACAACAGCCTAAGGTCCAGGGGTTTTAGTAGGTAGGTCCGGGGACACCTTCCTCGGGAATCAACACTGTCTTTTGAAGATCTCCTCACATTGGCCATTGAAGGTATTAAAAGGTTAAAATGGGACAAAGGGACATTCTATGGAATGCCTTCAAATTCTTTAACTGAAGAAAGCCCAAAACATTTTATATTCCTTGGAAATGGATAATCTAAAATATCGGATTGATATTGTTTTCCGGGTTCAGTGTAAAATCCATGGAATTTTGAAGTTCCAAATTGATATCACTACCTGCTAAATAACCGCTTATCGTACCTTTAGTGAGGAACTACGAAATTCCATGAATTTTCGACAAAACGGGCCGCAAAACAATATCGAATTGATATACGCCAGCTGTGTAAAACTGGAAACTACAAGATATTGTAGTGTCCTAATAAATGCATATAATCCAAAATTTTTAGAAAACGATTCGAAAAACTTCACTTATTAGATGAAACCAAAGCTAGAGAAACTATGGATTCCATTTCTTTTTCTAATTATCGTACAATGTGTAAAATACCGGAAACAAAATGGGTTGTAAATATTTTGATATAAAATGACTGATCTTAATTTTAGATCAATGAAATTATTTGCAACCCTCTCTTGACTCTCTTCTTTCACAGTAAACATTAAACTATTTTAGCATCAGTGTCTTTTTTTCCTATTAAAACGAATAACAAAGGCAAATAAGGAAGCATATAGAAGAATCATTTGTTGCTGAACTGAACAAACTATAACATAAAGATAGAAAAACTATATCTCAATCACTACAAACAAAAAAATTTTAATCATACTCATACATCTTCGCAGTTGGTGATATAATGCAAACACCACTATTAGTGTAGCAAAACTCCAGTATTTAAAAAATGGGAAAATGCCTGTAACCTCCATGATGTCCTTTATCATGTTAAGTAAGGAGAACGTAAGTCATAACTAATTTTGTAACCGTATGATTATATTAGTAAATCGCAGAAAAATGGTCCACTTACGTCAGATTGTTTAAGGGCCTGAAAAAGGTAACAAAACAAGAGCTGGTCAATGTCGTCCCTGTAGAGATACAGAAAAGTGCAAGGATCGACGTCAGCTTGGGAGAATCGGTAGATCATTGAGATCGAGTGCGAAAATTGGACTTCGAAATCACTGTTATATGCCTGCAAATAACCATCCTCTACCCCAACACTTATCTGCAAAAAAAACAAACAAAATTAATAACTTTTATCCATACTACTATAGGTACAGTTTTTATAACATTTTTGTTTATCTGTATTCTATATATGTTATCGTTAATCTTAATCCAGAAAACTACTGAACTATTGAAATAATAGAATATTAGTAATTAATTTTATTTATTTTGTTTTTTATTTAATTTTTTCTGGAACTTGTCAGAGTAGGTACATATTACAGTAAGTGAGCACGCAGTGACACTAATTTCAGTGATTATACATGGATATCAATGAATGGTAGGTATAATCAAAAGAGTAATTAGGAAGGGATTAAGAGAAATCAGACGCAGGGCTGAAGTTAAGGTTGTCGTAAAATCTAGATTCTATTGCTTTTATCTCATAACAACGAATGAAGTCAATTTGAGAACATTTAGATTTCCCTTCAAATTCCATGAAACTCTTGTTACTTAATGTTTGGTTCAAAACACCTTGACCTACGTACTTCATCATTGGCGAAGAGTAATCCCCTCATAAGACAATTTTTCTAAAAGGTACCTACCTACTTAAAAATTTGGTGTCAAATTTGGTACGAGAAATCCATTGAGAAGCTACAAGCCCAATTTTGGTGATTCTTTTTTCTGTGGATTCGTTTGCTATTACAACATCTTTCTCTTGATTTTGATAATGATTTATCATATGAGCTCATTTTTCTGGAGGAATTTTTAATAGCATAAGCAAGAATCATCTCCAGAGGCAATGGAAGATCCCGTTCTGTCCGCAATTATTCGGCTTCTCAATAGTAGATGGCGCCAAATGTTTCGTTTATTGCTTTATTTATTGTACCTGTATTTTCAAGTGCCTAACTACTGAGCGACAGGACTCCGAGGTTAGACCATTGCTTAGCATTCGGGAGGACGCTGGTCGGCTGAAGAGGACCTTAATTGGTCCTAGAATGGCCTGAAGTAGAGGGGTTTTAGTCGGTAGGTCCGAGGACTTCTTCCTCGGGAATCCGACACTACCCAGTCGTACGGACGGCTGGGTGACTTTTGAAGATCTTCCCTCGAACGCCGGTTCGATTTCGGGTCCGTCTGCCTAGGTCCAAATTTTTCTGTGCTCTTGTTGAATCACTTAGGCAAATATTGGGACAGTCATATTCCACAGATAATCTTTCATTCTCTTCTGTCTTCATTTCGTCCGTCTCATCTTTCTCACCCGAACCACCACCACCCACCCATTTCCATGAATCCTGAAAGGAGGCTGAAGGGGGCCTCCAATTTTCAATTAGCAGGAGATCCGATAGATAATTTTATCAACTTACTTTTTACTGGTGGGTGATTTATCGAGATTGCCTATGGCGTGCTAATGCGATCTAATAAAATCGAAATCGCAATTCACACCTAGCGGTTTTATTATAACTAATTATCGTGTTAGAAAACCATTTCGTATGAATTAATTGTCAACTAAAACCAAAATACAATCGCAAAAACAGCACTCAATCTATTACTAAGTACCAAAATAATTAACACTTTATATACACTTGTAATTTTATTTGTTTGTTTGTTTGCCACCATTTCCCTTCTTAATTACTCAACCGATCATATAACATTTTTTGTACACACATTGTCAGGGGTACAAGAAAGGTTATATGATATCATTTTGTCCAGCAAAAATATTGTTCCCTAAGGATAAAAAAAATTACGTCTTTTGGGTCGTCGATGATCATGTTTACCGTAAATATCTGTGAATTGTATTACTTCCTTTGTTTTGTCAAAATAATTCCTATATAGTTCGTCTTGAAATAATGATTAAATTTACGAGCATACGATAATTATTCGGTGTGTGACGTGTAGGTATATGTATAATAACATGGAAAATGGACTAAACAAACACAAGTAATGTACCTAATTTAAATTAATTTTCGTCTTGTAGCATTTCTAACATCTTGTACTTTATCTCTCGCGGAATGAATAGCAAACAAAAGCCCGTGAGGCCCGGGCTTAGGGGCGGCAAAATTTTTGGGAAGTCAAAATTTTAAAGCCGAAAGAATTCCGAATTCACAAATCAATTAGATTAGATTTTATTTGAATGTTTGAAAAATTTTTAATAAAATATATTGAATAATCTATTGATCGAATTAACTTTTAATTTGTCACAATCTTAATTTTTAGTAGATCAATTAGCTTTTATCAATATTGGTATATATCGAACAATGCTACTGATTTATTAAAAAAAGGGAATAATGAATTTTTAAAAGAAATGTTTAAATACATTTATGTATAGTATGTTCCTCAATGTTTTTTTAATTTTTGTATTTTCAGTGAAATTAATCTCACTATACAACGTACAGCGCTAAGAGTATGGCACACTGTTGCGTTTAATATGAAAAAAGTATTTTTTTTTAAATGCGCATAGACAACCCAACAAACGCTTCATACTTTAAAAAAATGCAGTGCATCTTCTTTAAAATAAATAAGAAAACCCCGCCAGAGCTACGGTACTAGGCTTTTTTTTGTTTTATGTCTCTACCGCATTTTCCTTTCAGGATTTCCATTGGAGGCGTCTCTACGATGACGCAAACGATGCCATCTGCGTCCAAGATCCACCACTGCCTTGACTGTGCTGTATGATCTTCCGTCGGAGGATTGACGATGATGTCATGTCCTTCTACAGCATATCAAAGATCAAGAAGCTGTAACTGTAGCACATGCTTTCTGTGGAGGATGGATCTGTCGATTTGGTGTACCTTTAGGAATTACTGCAGACTAAGGAAGACGGTTCGAATCTCAACTCTTCAACAAACCGTCGCATAATGAACACCAAACACATCCATATCACGACATACCACGGCATACCACTCGGAAGCAAATAGAATGGTCGAACGACTTCATCACCAGCTGAATGCTGCAATAACATGTCATGGGCCGAGATTCTTCCCATAGCAGTGCTATTAGGCATCCGAACAGCCTGGAAAGATCTGATGCAATAGTTGCTGACATGGTACATGGAAGATCACTACGTCCAATAGCAGACCATCGCCCTACACCGCTAACATTTCCAACTACTACAACCTGTATCTGGAACACGACATGGGGAAAAAAAGACAACCATCTACAAGGACATCCAAACAGCAGAATACATCGACACGATGGTCCCAAAAACTCACTACACTGCAATTCTCATACGACGGCACTTTTAAAATAATCAGCAGGAACGACTACACGTTCACCGTCCACCACCCAACAAAGAGAAAACCATATCTATTCTCCTACTTAAACCAGTATACATCAAGTCAGAGGGGCAACATCTACAATCCCCTTCTGTACCTACAACTACCAACAACGACATCTCACAATCAACAAAAACAACCCACTCAGGACGTCCAGTACACGTTCCCTGAAATAGTTCACAGAAGGTAGGGGTCTTGTGGGTACATAGACATACAGAAGATGCACATGTATAGTAGCAACTCAGCCTTTCTATCGTCGCTCTTGCTTGACCAAAATCAGGCCAAACATTGAACTCAGACCAAGCTGCTAGACAGACTAGATATCATCATAACAATCATAAGATTGGTTTAACACGCACCTCCACTCCTTCCTATCCTGAGATAATCTTCGCATTTCCCTAAAAGTAGAACATCCCAAATCCTTAACTATTTGCAAACAGTAATCTAATCTGGGTCTACCTCTACACCTCTTCACTCCTGTTTCAGTCTCTAATATGTCTCTGACTAGACCTTCATGCCTAAGAAGGTGTCCTACCAACCTATCTGGCCTATTTCTTATTGCTAATACCTCATCATTTCTAATCTTCTCTATGCACAGTATCCTCATCATTCGCCGATAACACCACATTGCGACCGCTTCTAACCTTTCCTTTTCCGTCACGCCCACCATGTTTCGCACCCGTACAGCGCAGCACTCCAAACATACACCTTTAACAACCCTTTTCCAATTTTTATATTAATCTTTCGCGAGCATAGATGTGACTCATATTTATTGAAAGCGACTCGACCCTGCTCTATCCTCTGCTTTATATCCCTATTACTTCCTCCGTCCTGACTTATCTGATTTTCTAAATACCAAAAATCAGCCACTTCTACTAATCTTTCGTCTCCTATCGTTATATTCGCTCTTTCCCTACTTTTTTTTCCTTTGCATACCAGTATTTTTGTTTTACTTTTATTTATTTTGCATATAACTCATGCAAATAATTGTAGCATAAATATTCTGTAAATATTTCGAATAAATCAGTCCTGCAAATAGACTCTTCTTCTTCTGACTATTGACATTCTCCTCCAACTCCAGCCTCGCAAATCAACTGGAGACTAGCATCCCTATCTGTTATCCTCACGCAGGCTACAATATAAATGTTTTGACGAAAATATATTTTTGCGAAATCAAGGAAAATGATTCATAATTTCATATTCTTTTTAGACAAAATTCAAATCAGAACGCGCAAAATTTCGCTGTTTACATTGGTTCATCCTGAGGCAGATATAATAAGGTGATGCATGCCATGCACTTTCAATAGAGTTCCCCATTCAGTCCTGAAAGTGATCATGTACTACTCCAATTATCCTTTTCGTTCCAAATATTGCTTTTAATGCACAAGTAACATCATAAAACATTTTTTATAAAAAAATTAAAACGAACACATCGTTAGTATAAGATAAAAGTTTTAGCCTTAAATGAGTTTTGATAACTGTAATCTTTATATCAATAAAAACGACAGAAAGTCGTTTAATACACCCCTCCCGGAGGCATTATAGATAATAGTTTTAATGTTACCTTCCGTTCCTTGATTCAACACGTCGTTGGTACAAAATCAATCGGAATTGCCAAGTCCTTGCAAGAACATAAAGCTGGTCGTTTTTCGAACGTAATTATCAAAAAGTGTGTGATTAGATAGATACGTTCATATTAAATTGTTTATCTGTTGTGTTATTTAAAAAAAATCGACAAAATGATGCTTGAAAATTGGGCTACTTTGGTGGACGAATTAAATTACACAGAAACTATTCCAATTGGTAAGCAATTTTTTATTATTTGTAAAAAAAGAATAATAATTAACAAAATACACCTGCAGTAATTATGTAGTTCAAATTATAAGTGCCTACAGTAGGTAAGTTAATCAAAACTAGTTTTTGAAGCACTTATTAGTAATTAACATTTTATGAATGTAGTAAATATAGAAAACTAGCTTTTACCCGCGGCTTCACTCACATGGATTTTTTCTTTTTATTAATTTTCAGTATTTAAGCATTTAAAAATTAAAAATAATGTTTAGACTACTAGTACCTACTGTACATTTCAATTTAACGTATGATATGCCGGACGACTAAATAAGTTAATTTTTTTATCCCTCCGGAACAGTACCCCTTTTCTGGATAAGAAACACCCTATGTCCTTTTCTGTACCCCTAACAATGTGTACCTATACAAAATTTGATGATGATCGATTGAGTAGTTAAAGTGTGAAATCGTAATAAACAAATAAACAACAAACTCACTTTCGTATTTATAATATTAATTAAGATTATTAAATACATTAAGATACCTACGGTTTGCAACATGTTATGACAGATGTAAAAAAAAAACAAAAAAAATATGACCACATTCCAGAATTCGAACTCCGAACTCCGGCGTGGTAGACCCCTGCTCTAACCATTGCGCTATTTAAAAAATTACTTTTGAGGTAAAATTGCTAACTGTACCGCGAGGGCAAATCATGTTTGTTGCTTTAGGGGTCAAAAAATGGAGAAATAAGACAACATTTTTGATATTTTAAAAGCTCCTTCTTTCTAAAAACAGAATTTATAATAATAAGTAACGTATCAGAATCTGTCACTTTCTTATCCATAGTTAAAAATTAGAACACTTTTATCTTGCCTTCTCAAAGTACATTCACGCAACATTTTTAAACCCCATGTGTACTTAAAAATACATTTGATGTAAATTGGAATTACTGTAATCAGTTTAAAAAAGTAAACTTAAAAGAATTGTTTGCAATTATTTATTTTCATGGCTACCTTACGTTAGTTGCACATTACGTAAACTCAAAACATCATTTCGTCCAAAAAATTGCGATAAAATAAACTAAAATGGTTTACTAATTGCAAGCACTTAAAAATTTCACTAAATACAAAAAGAAACATTGTTGTATTTATGAAGGATGACTTCATTTGTCATTAACGTTATACGATTATGCCACGTGGTTTAATAAAATAGGATCGAAGAATAAATTAAATTATGGCAATTCCCATGTTAATAAAGAAATTGAAACAAGAATAATATTATGCATGCTGTAGACGGAAATTTTTATTTTTTTAGCAATTCAATTATTATACCTATTAAGTAGCTTATTTTACTAAGGTTTCCTTTATTCAAATGTTCGTCTGTCCGTCTGTCACAACCGTTGCTTATTGTAGTTCTGAACGTCGAAATTTGAATATTAGGATGGTAACAAAAACTACTAACTCTTTAGTTTTTCAATTATTTATTAGAATAGTTTTAAAATATTTACAGAAAAATTATAGAAAATACGATGAACAATTTGAAAAAAATTAACGAATGTAATCGTACAATTTGTCGTATAAATGAGTGTTAATCAAGAAATTAAAACCACTTTTTAGAAGTCTTATTTTCAGAGAGTTTATTGAAATTCTACAGGTGTTAAAATTATGTAAAAAGTCTTTATTTAATGAGAATAGTAGATGTTAGATCTTAGTCACTAATTTATCGAAAATACCACTAAGTACTATTTCGATCTTATTAAATCTCATCAGCACGCCGTATCCAAAATCCATAAAAAATTGTGGATCGTAATCGTCTTCTAGGGCGTATATGATTAAAATAATAAATAAAACTTTATAAAAGCGATTATGGAATGGATTAACTTTCGATTGTTTTTCTTTGATTTATAGGAACCAGCCCTAACAGATATACGCAAGATGCATTAAAGGGGGTGCATCTTCGAATTGGGACCGTACAGGTAAAACTTATAGAGCCCCTGTATCAATAAAGGGGACAGCGACCTCATCTCCCAGACTGATCTTTATCGTTTTCATCATCGTAAGGTATTCAACCCAAAGATTGGTTGGCCGCGCAGCTCTACCTCTTCCTATCTTCAGCCAATCTTTGTTTTTCTCGGACCCGAGTACCCACATCTCCAACCATTTGCGAACATGATCTAATTGCCATTTCATCTGAGAATGTATCCTATCAACCTATCTGACCTACTATTATCCTCCTCTTTCTAATACCTGTTCATTTCTAACCTTTTCCAATCAACGATACTTTTAACGCCCTTCCGTAATATCTCACATTTCAAAAGCTTCTAACCTTAAAATTAGTCGTTTTCAAATTTCCAAAGTAACCAATCTGAAACACAAAAGTGATTTCTTTTCTTTAAAAGTGACCCGACGCTATTCTTTGTTTTATATCTCTAGCTCCATCCTGAGCTATCTGACTCACCAAATACCGAAAATCTTCTTCCAGTTTTCCGCCTTCTATTTTTACATTAATTCTAAATCAACTTTACATCTCTTCATCATCATCATCATCATGATAAGGTCGTCAGTCTTAAGACAATTTGGACATTCTTTCCTATCTTGAGCTAAACTTCGCATTTCCCTAAAACTAGAACAACCCACATCGTTAACTTTTTGCGAACAGTAATCTAATCTAATCTAGGTCTATTTCTACCCCTCCTAACTTCCGTTTCTGCCTCTAATATGTCTTTGACTAGACCTTCATGCCTGAGAAGGTGTCCTACCAACCTCTGTACTCTGTTCTCCTATCCTTTCTAAAACCTCTTCATTTCTAATCTTCTCTATCCACGGTATCCTCATCATTCGCCTGTAACACCACATTTCGGACACTTCTAACCTTTTCTTTTCCGCCGCGCTTACCGTCCATGTTTCGCACCCGTACAGTAGCGCACTCCAAACATACATCTTTAACAATCTTTCTCAAATTTCTAAATTAACCGTTCGCGAGCATAGAAATGACTTCTTTTCGGATTCGGATATTTGCGATTCCGTATAACTCAGATCCGGATGATCAAGCATTCACTGTATCTAAACTTGCTAAATCTTTATTTAAAAATCAAATTACTAGTAAATTTTATATAGGTAAGTAAATAATTCAGTCTTTATTTTTCAGAATTATCCTTTAAGTTACGCAGAGCTTGTAAATGACACTTGGATAGGCAAAGGAATAGCCTTCGATATTATAAAGTATCTCCAAAACAAACTGGGATTCACATACACCGTCTATCTTCCCAATGACAAGACCGTAGATTCAGACGAAGGAGTCGTAGGAATGTTGAACAAAAACGTAAATATAAAACAATCTTGCTAATCATAAATTGCTGCACAATACCCTGATAAATTTGACCGCTGCTTCATATTATATTCTATAGTTGAGACGTTCAAAATTGGCATAGTTTATAATACAACTGTCGCATTTACATTCTTCTTTCAAATTACTGACTAGACTAAAGCGGTTGCTGATAGAACGCCTACTTTTACTCAGGACAGACGTTGTAAGGAATATTGTAAACATAGAAAAGAGATGTCAGGTAGGAATTGCAGCGGCCACTAATAGAGATGAAGAAATAGCATTACAACGATTAATGTGTAGTAGAAGGAGATACAGGCAAGAAAAATTTGAGCACGTTGCCAGCATCGGACTTTAAAAAAAATTCAACATCCTCAGTAATTTAGAAAAGCAAGACGCTTGTTTAAAGATATAATTCCAATTAGGCAGTTATAAAGTCGACCCTGATCTAACTAAGGACTTTTGTGCCTTAAAATTATCACTAAATAAAATTTGGACCGTCCTCTTGTTTGGTGTAGATGTCGGTCATTCCACTTAGTAAGCTCATAAATTTTTTGTATGTTTTATTGCCTGAGCCGCCACTTTAAATGGCACGGACTTTACGTCCATTCTCATACATAGTTTATTGTGAACTCTGTCAATTTTGATCGTCCCAACTATGGTATTGAAAATCTATACGAGATCTACGTCATAAAATATAAAATTATCGAGCAATAAATCTGACACTCGATCGGGGTCGATAATTTCTGGATCTTTTGCTTGAGGTCATAAATAAATGTTAATAAACACATAATACCTAACCAAAGGATTTTGTAGGAAAACCTTGTAGGAACTTGCTCATTTTTTAAATATTGGAGCTTTTGTAGACTAATAGTGGTGTTTGCATTTTATCACCAGCTGCGAAGATTGAGTATGATTCATATTTTTCTGTTTGAAGTGATTGAGATATAGTTTTTCTATCTTTATATTATAGTTTCTTCAGTTCAGCAGCAAATAATTCTTCTACATGCTTCCTTATTTGCCTTTGCCAACCGTTTTAATTCGAGAAAAAAAAAACTAATGCCAAAACCGTTTGCTTAGCGTAAAAGATCAAGGCCAAAATAGTGTTGCAAATAATTTTATTGATCTAAAATCAAGATCAATCATTTTATATCAAAACCTCATTTTGTTTCTGATCTTTTAGACATTCTAATAAGAGAAAGAAATGGAATCCATAGTTTCTTTAGCTTTGGATTCATCTAATAAGTGAAGTTTTTCGAATCGTGTTTTAAAAATTTTAGATTATGCATTTATTAGCACACCACAGTATCTTGTAGTTTTCAGTTTTACACAGCTGGCGTACATCTATTCGATATTTTTAAAAAAAGAATTCAAATGCAAGATGAAAATAGGTGATTTTTATTTTAAATGCAATTATTTCAAATAAATCACATTTCTGGTCAAACCTCGAAATTATCGTAAAAATTGATTCGTGAGGTCTATCTATTAACGTCTCGGCAGTGGTAGAAACTTGCAACTTTCCCATGTTCTGAAGACGGCAGCAATATAATTGCCGAAATGACAAGGAAGCCCCACGAATTAATTCTGTTTAGGACCCGAGGATTTTTGTTTTCAAATCAACAACAATTTAAGTAAAAGCTTGAAAGGTATCATTATTTGTTTCATTATTTTTCTTTTATTTAATTTAATTTGTTCGTCGCTTTGTCTGTTTGTAACTTGTGTATATTATTACTGCGTGATGTGATAATGCACTATGGTTAACACGATTTTCCACGTAAGCAAAGGGAAGCATGTGCCTACTTTTTAAAAGAATTGTATTGTTACATCTCTTTTATTAGAAAGTATATGCATTAAAAAGGACTAACTGTTTCAACCCTTTTTCACAATTTTTTTTCAATGCACGTAATGATATGATATTACCGGTAATCTACAATAAATTATTTAATGTATCATTAAAGCGGACGATGCGATGCGATGTCTACAAACAAACGTTTCTATGAAAACTAAAACAAAAGTTAAAATTACATAGTCAAACAAATGGAAGCTTAACAATCAATTTATCCAATTTCAATTGTTTGCTATCATTTACTCATTCCCGCAACTTCGATCGTTTTTAATGATTCGTAGGAAACTAGGTAACATGCGTAACAATTTTGATTTAGCCGTCCAACTTACTGTTTCACACCAAATCCTTTTTGATGTGAAACTTCTATATATAGGCGAAGGGTATTACGATCTTTTCTGTTACAAAAAAGCGGTACGGTGGCGTCGAGAGGGAGAGAAAGCCTGCCGTGGCGGAGAGAGGGCAACGGCTGTATTGGATATAATGCGCAGCCGCGCGGAGAACGGGGAGTCCGCTAGAGTCCCGCCGGCGTGTGCTGTGCTCAGCTGTTGTTTTCTTATCTCCGCTCTCCACGTGGCTGGGCATCATTGCCTCTATTTGCGGTCTGTGTAAAAACCAAATCATAATTTGTAATAATCCTGTAAAAACGAAATGTGTGCCCTAAAACATGAAGTAAAAATTTTGTTGCGATTGGTTTTTCCACTTCTACTATGTTTCCCAACACATATTTCGTTTTTTATATTTGTTGTTCTCATCAGTTAGCTTCAACTCATAGTCAACTCATCAACATTTTCACGTTTTTCTGTAAACGTGTATGTTGAAATTCCCGCACCCTAAACAGAGTGCACCAACCGAGCATTCTCTCTCTCAACTCCGATTTATGAGGGTATGCCCTCGAGTCTTAAATGAGAGATTTTCATTTATCTACAGATCATCTATGTTGCAGACTTGCAATGAGGCAGATAATATGTAAGGATATCTCAATGGAGTTTAAGCCATTATCAAAAAAAAATATCAAACGAAGTTTAGTATCCTGAAGTAGCAAATTTAAATCCACTTTATCTTCTGAAAACTCACATGTTCAAATTATTGGTTCATTATGACCCATATGGTGGTCATGCAGAATGGGACATGTTCCTTCCATTTTGAGTCAATTTCTATTGTCCTTTATTGATTTACAACAGCCCCTAGACGGTTAGAAAATATTTTTTTTCTTTTATTGGATAGTAGAAAACTCGTTCATTTGAGTTAAGAGAGTTTTAATAAACACCCTGGGACCACCTGCTGTTGTGCCCAGCTTGGCCTGTATCACGTTATTTCCCCAACATTGGATTAGACCATCAAGGAGGCGGACCAGGGATTGAACCGGTGTCTTCCCGAATACTAACTTATGATCTAGCCGCTGGACCACCACCACCATCCAATCATTTGCTCATAGTAGTTCCCCTTTTTCGATAATAACTTCGACATTCTAGTTAATATACTCATTAGGTATACGTCATTGAATAATAGCAACCATATTCAGCTACGTGCCTCTTTCAGAAAGTCGACGTCATGGCCGCCTTTCTGCATAACGAATTCTTTAGAAACTTAGGGTTTCCCAGTTCTAAAGTACTGGACATGGAAAAATGGTCAGTGATGATGAAAAGACCAAAAGAATCAGCAACCGGGTCTGGTCTAACGGCCCCGTTTACCTGGGATGTATGGCTCGTCATACTTTTATTCCTGTCGTTCATAGGACCCATCATGCACTACATCATACGATACAGAGACCATTTGGTAAATGACCACAAAGAGAGTTCTATATATACGAAATTTAAATGCTCATGGTTCGCCTATGGAGCACTGTTGAAGCAAGGAACTACACTAGACCCAAAATCGGGTTGGTAAATCTTAGATGTAAATCTACTGTGGTTAATCTTGGAAGGGGAAGTTAGCAGTAAATTACTAAGTTGACAGAGAGCATTTTTACTGGCTTATTTCAATTCCATACTGGAAGATTTATGAAGTTCAAAAGTAAAATGGTTTTCTTTCAGTCTGTCAGTTACTGCTGACTTTCCAAATGTTACCGTTGAAATGTGTTAGTTGAATGTTGGTACAATTGTAATATAAGGTTTGTAATACCTTCTACGGCCAATTTCGGAAGGAAAACTAGAAGTAAATTATTGGATCGACAAAAAGCATTTATTTTATTGCACTATTCTTTATTGAAATAATCCAATTAGTCAATACTGTCTTCAAATCTCTAATCTTGGGTGTCGAAATACTTCTTTTGTAGAATTTCGGGAGTTTTAGTATTAATTTAGTAAAGTTCTACAGAACTCAGTTCTAAATTTTGAGGTTATAATCGTAACTAACCTTAACTAACTAACAATATTACGTTTGGCCTAAGTTTATACCCTTCTAGTTTCTGAAATCATTAAGCATTTAACAGATTGAACGCCAATAACTTATGAATTAATTTTTACCACTACAGATAATCTCAAATTAATGAAAAAAAATTGTAGCTGTTGTCACGCCTTTGCCGGGAATCGAACCCAAGTGCAGGTCCCTGGCTTTACGCACCATTGGTTTACCACTAAATTGGCGTAAATCCAAGGACCCGAGTTCGATTCCCGACGAGGACGTGACAGCAGCAACAATTTTTCCTTATTAATTTAAGGTTATCTAGAGTAGTAAAAATTAATTCACTTTAATGTATTGAAAACCCTTTAAAAATTCTTCTAAAATGTCTCATTTTCAACTACTTCCTTTTGTAGAGGATTTCTCATAAACAATGGGTGCCAATTTTTAAAAACATGACCATGAGGTCCCCTATGCGACTAAAAGGCGATTCATTACTTATAAGACACCCTGTTCATTAAACCTTTTAATATAGAAGTATTAAAACGTGGAATCTATTTCGATCTCTAACATCAACCTATTAAAATAAATTAAATTTATTTAAATTTTCGGTTAAGACACCACGAGAATCTTATTTGCAACCTGGTGGATATTTATAACCATATTGACTGCTTTCTACACGGCTAATCTGACAGCATTTCTTACCCTCTCGCAATTCAAATTACCCATAAATGCTCCTGCAGATATTGGTCAAAAACGGTACGGATGGCTGACACAAAAGGGAGATCCAATAGTTGATTTATTAAAAGACGTAAGTATCTAATACTTATTTCGTAAAACTGATTTTATTAATTACTGAAACGCCAATCCACCTAATATTCTTCTTTTGTGTTAATATAGAGGAGAGTGGTGTATCTCTCTTTGGAAAAACTTGGGGTTTAAAATTGTATAAATACTATGTTAAATAAATAACAATTTTATTTAATATTGTAGTGGGGTTATGAAATAAAATAAAATAATTCGAAGTGGTCTGTATTCTGTCGAAACTGCCAGACGTGGATCGCGATTTCGATCTTTTTGTATCTCATCAGCGCGTCGCAGTCAGCTCCAACAGAGCACAGACCAACTTTTACCTGCTGTCTTAATAGCGCGTTTTAGAAAATAGCACAAATGACGCGGTAAACGCCATCTGTAGTACGATGCCACATTTTAGGATTACGCATGCTCCAACAAGGTCCATTTAAACATATGGATATCTACTTGCCGAAACGAATCACGGCGTAGCTAACCTGAACGTGATAGGCACGTTACCATAATCGAATAAAATAAGTGGTCTGTATTCAGTCGAAACTTCCAGACGCGGATCGTGATTTCGATCTCGCGTCGCAGACATCTCCGACAGAACACAGACCAACTTTTACCTGCTGTCTTAACAGCGCGTTTTAGAATGTTGCATCGTACTACAGATGGCGTTTACCGCGCCATTTGTGGTATTTCCTGGAATCATCAAGTTTAAATAAGTAATGGCAGTTGTTAAAACAGGGTTAAATGTAAATCCTAGAAAAGATAGTTTTGCACTATGGGGATAGGTAAAATGATCCTTTCGAGAGGGTGAAATGAACACACGCTATTTGTTATCTTATCTTTAGAAATAGAATAGTCAAAAATTAATAGTTAAGGTTTATTAAAGTAAAATACATACAAAATTATGTACATTATTAAAACATAAACAGTAATTCTCATAAAAATAAACAATAAAAAAATTGTGGTGTTGTGGGATACCCGGTAAGAAGTTTCTTACGCTATTTCGACAATTATAATATTTGGAATTGGAAATTTTAGACCTGTTGAAATGAAATGGATATTAGAATGAATATTCGGGCTATAGGGCCGTGATCTAGGTAAACTATTCTATCCAGACGTTTCGTCAGCTACTGAGGCTGACATCCTCAGTAGTAGTGCTGCGTTGACAACGTGAACGTATAGGTTATATCTCGAAGTCTCGACAGCGACTAGACCTAGACCACAGCCCTATAGCCCGAATCTTCATTCTACTATGGATTCCGGCCGTGAAAGCCTTTTTTCTTGTATTGAAATGGATATATTCACTAGATGGCAGACTTCGTCAGTTGTCAGATAGATGTCTACTAACATATTGAATTACGGATTTAAGAGAATTAAGATCTACAATAGCTTAGGGAAAGAGGGATTGAGAATTATGTGTTCAAAGCAATCTAAATGCTATTTTCTAATCGACATGATTCAGAAAAATATATAAACAGATCATTACAGTTCGTAAACCTCTAGTAGTCTCTGGCATGAGATGCAACTGATAAATAAACCATTAATTCATATGAAATTGACCACAATGACTCTCTATGCCTTTTATTATTTTTAGAAACGTCAAGCCCTCCACCACGCGTTAAAAGGCTCTAAAAGTTTATCTTTAGACCAAGAAAGAAGTGAAATTCTCCAAAACTACGTATTCCTCAAGAACTTTTTGTACATTTCCGAGGAGCATACCATCCAATATCTCATGTATCAATCGTATATCAATAATGCGAGAAAGGGAATTGCAGAGGAAGGCAGATGTATATTCGTCATGACCAACTGGGAAGTTGTGAGATTGAACAGAGTTTTCGTCTACTCCAAAAATTTCAGTTATGAAGAGGTTTTCAACAGGCAGTGAGTATTTACGAGTTTATTAACTTATATGCTGCTGCTCTTCATGTTGGAGTTCGTAATCTAATAATTGTAAGAACTCTCAAAATTATAGTCTGTTTGTACTGTTCGTTTCAAGTAGCTAGAGATATGCCCCTTCCCTTTATTATGATGCGCCGTAGCATAATTCCAAATTCAATCATATTTGTCTGCGGAGCTCATTTCTCCACCGATCATCGAGCGAGAGCTAGACAAAAGTGTACAGTACCATTTGCAAAATTATTTAAACTGCCTAGTTAAAATTTAAAAATATGCTTTATTTAAAAGCATATTCAGCCAAAAATAATAACAAGTGAATTAACTTAACGCTCTACACACCTATAAAACTTTTGCTTTGTTTTCTATTGTTAATTTATATACATTTTTATTTTAAGAAATTGCTAAATATTTTCGTCTAGTACTGTACAGTTCTAGCCGAACTCCTAAGACCGCTCATCGAGAGCTCTCCTCGTTAAAGCTTGTTCCAACTATTTCTGTCTTGCTCACGCCTAGTGTGTATTCTTTCTATCTTCGCGCAGATTTTTTCAAGGTCACAATTCTAACACATTGAAGTAGACTGTATTTCTGTCCTGTCTGTATGTCACAGCTTCATATACATATCTACTTATTAAAATGAAATTAGATTGAGGATTCATGTAAATTGAAGGTCCAACGAATCGAAGCTAGAATAAAAACAAAAGACTGATTGTTTAATAAAACTAACGTCAATGTTTCGCTTTTTAGTGTAAGGTTTTATCAAAGTAGGGTTTCGCACTAAACACCGGAACGTTGACGTCGATTTGTTTAGTAAAGCATCTTTTGCCCCGTCCTGGCTTCGATGATTTCATTATCATCATGAAATGAGGAGAAGGATGAGAAGTTAAGGAAGGATAAAGTTTTTAGAAAAATTATTTTATGGACTATCTTTCCATAGATTGAAAGGTGTACCTAATTTTGTTTTCACTTGCGTCAAAAATTATGCGGCTCGCGAACGATTAATTTAGAAATTCAAAAAAGATTGTTAAAGGTGCATGTTTGGAGCACGGCGCTGTACGGATGCGAAACATGGACGGTGGACGCGGCGGAAAAGAAAAGGTTAGAAGCGTTCGAAATGTGGTGTTGCAGGCAAATAATGAGGATACCGTGGATAGAGAAGGTTAGAAATGAAAAGATGTTAGAAAGAATAAGAGAACTATGGAAGTCAATAAGAAATAGGCGAGATAGGCTAGTAGGACACCTTCTAAAGCATGAAGGTCTAGTCAGAGACATATTAGAGGGAGAGACAGGAGGTAGGAAGGGTAGAGGTAGACCTAAATTAGATTACTGTTCGCAAATAGTTAAGGATGTGGGATGTCCTATTTTTGGGGAAATGTGAAGATTAGCTCAGTATAGGAAAGAGTGGTGGTGCGTGTCCAATCAGTCTTAGAACTGACGACCTTATGATGATGATGATGATGATGATGATGATGACGATTAGTTTTAGAATTCTCTGACCTAAAGTTACTCTTAGGTGCGTATTGTCGGTGTTGTTGGTGTCACCTCTTTGTACAGAACTGGTGCGTAAAACCAGGAGTCCTGGTTCCACTCCTGGCAAGAGAGTCAAGTAAATAACAGAAATAAATCAGTTAAATTTTTGGGAATTTCTCATTTTTGGTTAGAAAAATCTTGGAGGCAGATTTTAAGAATCAGCCATTAAAGCGTCATTTATAAACACCCTGACGGACATCTAAAAGTAGGCAACCGAGCAGTGTTTATTTGTTATTAATATTGAAATTAATTTATCATATGCTTCTAATTTATGTTTAATTTAATAGGTAATCATTTGCCATTCGTATTAGTAACACTGTTAGTTACCGAATGCAAATTCATCACGGAAATAGTTTATAACCTCAAATTCCCAAATTGCTCAGTTACGACTGCGCACAGTTACCGTCGTTTCCCTTTTCACATTTCCGTTGCAAAATTGTGGAATTAGACCCACGCCGCTGCATAACAAAAATGTTTTCAGATTACTACTTCTGACAGAGGGTGGTATAATACTTCAAAAAATTAATGGAGGCCTCCCAGGTGTCGACATATGCCCGCTGAATTTGGGAAGCAAAGAGAGGCAATTGCGCAACACCGACCTCCTTCTGACATACTACTTGGTCGCCGGTGGCTACACCCTATCGATGTTAATTTTGATTGTTGAGATATTTTCGGGGTCTGTTCATCCCAAAAAGACTACAATGAATGAAATCAAAGAAGAAATAGATGAAAAACCAATACCAGAACTACCCCCGCCACCGACTTATCAAGCGCTCTTTGGAGAACCATACAAAAATGGAAAATTAACGGTATTCAATGGGCGTGAATATTGGGTGGTCAAAAGCACGGGAGGAAGACGTAAACTTATACCAGCAAGGTCTCCTTCAGCAGTCCTGTACCATTACAAATTTTAAATGTATTTCGGTTTGAAGCACACGACTTGTAGTCACAATAAAAACCCATTTTAGACTAAAATATTGTTTACTTTATAAATACCATTTTTAAGTCTGTTGACTCATTGCTAAGTGTTACCAGATTGATAGTTCTCACCACTTTACGTTGATTTACATAATCTTAAAACATTACCAATTAGTTAAGGAAGAAGATCGTAGGATTATTTCTTCCTGTGCGTGGAAGGTAGAGGTAAGGAGAACTATCTGATAATATGGCAAAAAAGTTGAAAAAGATCCCAGCTATAAGATAACAGTTCAAAAACCGTCCAATTTGAAGTATGCAGAGTTAGAAAATTTTATATTGTTAGTGACTACAGTGGTTAGTGACAGTCCAGTATACCAAACCTCAACTATTTACGTAGTTCAAAGTACGAGTACTTTTGTCCTTGTTTATTTTTTATCCTATTCTAATAACTTTTAACCCTGTTGCTACTGTGGCGCCACCCTAATTTAATGCTGTTTGACGGGCACTTTTTCACAAAAGAGGTAGTACTCCTCATCTCTGCCCTCCATATTCCTGTGCGAAACAACATGGTGTCTAATAGCAATCAAAATGGTGTCTGATGGACACGTGAAATGGTTCAATAGTCGTTTACCAATTTGAACCAAATTATTCAAAGATTATTATTCGAAAGATTAGTATTCCAAAGATTGTAGAATTATTTTATATAACTATATGTTCTGAATGCAGTTAAAAGAATTCAATGAATTTTAAGTATAAATGTTTATAAATGACAGGTGTCACAGTATTGTTTCTAAGTTCACATTTGTTTTTCAAACACGATATAAGGCAGCCTAAGAGCACTAGATGTAGAAGCAATAACTTAATATAAAGCGAATGAGTCTAAAGGTCATCATCAGTAGTAATGAATAGAAAACGCGTTCATATGCTACGCGATAAAAGATCAAGCGTCAGTTTTGGTATTTTCAGTTTTCAAACACAATTTGTGCTTGGTTTTCTTGTCTGCGCCCAAGAATTGTAGGTAACAGTATGGGCGCAAGAACTCCAATCTGTGAGGGAGTGTCCTCGAATCTCAAGTAAGGGATCAAATCATTTACGTTGGTAGGTTAATGATGTGGTAGGTAATATGTCAGAATATTACAACGGAGTTCAGGACAGTATCAAAAAAACACAACTTCCAGCTGATTACTTTCACTGCACTGCTCATGCATCCGACTTAGCAACACAAGTATCACAAAGTGGTTATGCAATTTCAAGTTATCCTTGATCTACCAACAGCAAACTCTAAGTAGTTACAAAAAATGCATAGTTATTTTTTTCTCATTTAACAAATAGTAACTCGTCCATTTTGGTTAAGATGGTTTGTTAATAAACGTAAAATTTTTGATGGGCGAGAATGCCCACCATGAGTCAAGGGATGCCCAGGCACCATGGGGCTTCCTGTTGTTGCGCCTGTAGGTATTCACTGGAGTGAACTAGAGTCATGATTAATTTGATATGCTTGTGATATTCGTTCTACCTGATTTGCCTGTTGTAATACGAGGGTGGATTGATTGATAAGTTTCCGGCCTAACCAAGAGATGACGCCACTAGGCCTACCTTGAGGTGACATTCTATAGTACCATCCTTGGATAGCTTGTAGCTATAGTTTCAGCCCGATCTCCTTGCTAGTGTAGGTTTGACAGCACGCTGAACAAGACGCCTCTGTGGTTTTCGTAAAAATGGAAAAGCAGGAAAATCGTGCTGTCATCAAATACTTTTATTTGAAGGGGTTAACGCCGAAGGAAATTAAAAAAGAGATGGACTCAACACTGGGGACATCCTCCCCGTCATATTCAACCGTTAAGCAGTGGGTTTCCGAGTTTAAAAAGGGTCGTGTGAGCACCTCTGATGGGCCTCGCTCAGGACGCCCCGTTGAGGTCACAACTCCAGATATGATCGAAAAAATTCATCAAATAGTGCTGGGAGACCGCAGATTGAAAGTGCGTGAGATAGCTGAGACCTGTAAGATGTCATATGAACGTGTGCAACATATTTTGCACCAACATTTGCATATGGAAAAGCTCTGTGCAAGATGGGTGCCGCGTTTGCTAACAGTCGACCAAAAATTGATTCGAAAAAACATTTCTACCGCAAATTTGTCATTGTATAAGCGTAATCCAAGCGAATTTTTGCGTCGATTCGTAACCGTTGACGAAACGTGGGTCCACCACTACACTCCTGAAACCAAAGAACAGTCTAAACAGTGGATTGGACCAGGGGAACCAACTCCAAAGAAGGCAAAAACAATTTTTTCGGCGAACAAGGTTATGGCTACTGTTTTTTGGGATGCAAGAGGTATTATATACATTGATTACCTTGCAAAGGGTAATACTATCACTGGTCAATACTACGCAGACTTATTGCAACGTTTGAGCCACGAGGTGAAAATTAAACGACCTCATCTGGCGAAGAAAAAAATCTTGTTTCATCACGATAACGCACCAGCGCACACGTCAATCGTTGCGACGGCTAAAATCAACGATCTAAAGTTTGAATTGATGCCGCACCCTCCTTACTCTCCAGACCTAGCCCCGAGTGACTATTTTCTGTTCCCTAATCTCAAAAAATGGCTTGGCGGTAAGAGATTTGCGGACAATGAAGAAGTAATCGAAGCTGTAAATGGTTATTTTGAGGAGCTTGACGAATCAGTCTATAGAGATGGCATTAATAGACTGGAACACCGCTATGAGAAATGTATCAGCCTTGGAGGAGATTATGTTGAGAAATAAAAAAAAAAAATTTTTAAAAACCTTGTTTTTCTTGGTCAGGCCGGAAACTTATCAATCCACCCTCGTATGAAAGAGAATACGTGACGGATGTCGATGAATCGCATTGTTATAAATTTTTAATTGAAGATGCTAATCAAATATTCCATGATAATTAATATAAAGTTATGTCCTTTATTTATATCTAGTACGGTGAACAGGAAGAAAATGAAGTTGGCATGGAAGTTAATTATTATGTGACAGATTTATTTTGTCAACCAATTTTGGGAAGACAGTTTTTTTTTATATGTTTGTTTCTTATTTTTGCTTGTGGGAAGTAAGGGTTTAAGTTTTTTTTTTCTTATAAGAAAATTCGTGTACTAGAAATATGAGTAATGGCGACAAGAAAGAACCCGTGGGATAAATACTGCTTCATTGATGAATTACCGGCCGAGGTTGTAAATCAAAATCTTCCTGTTAAGAATTGTCGAAAAGTAGACATCGAAAGAGACCAAAAGTACCTTAAAGAAATGGTAACGGAATTCACTTTCAAACTTTTTGGCAACATTGATGTGATTGGGATATTGTAAGTGCCAAAATACTGAACGCGGCCAGTAAGTGAACTGATGCTGTTCCTGTTCGAGTCCAAAGGTCGTCATGTGTTGGAGTTGCTTCTTAACGTTTCGCTTTAGAGGTCAGAACGACCTTTAGAGCCGAATCAGAAACAGCATCAGTTTGGAGTTAATAACGTCTAGGCGATGACCAATAATCTTCATCCTCTTGGTGTATTCACTAAGTACTGTGTCGATCTAAACCAAAACCCCGAAATGTTACTGACATTGAGTTTTAATCTATGGTTTTAATAGTTATACTAGGATATTAGCAGTGGCAAATGAAACTGGTAAAAAAGGAGGGTAAAACTGTTCATGAAAGTTGTAAAAAATAATAGGATGAAGATTACTGGTAAGTAGAGGTTGTTCAGAACCCCATTAATCTTGACATTGCAGTTTCTTTTAAAAAACATGTTTACTGCGAACACGTGTTTCGCCCACTTCTAATGTGAGCATTATCAACGCAAGATTAACCTTCCTTGGTTTATTTATTCCTTTATTACAGTGTTCATTCTCTACTTTGAAAGAAAGTGTTCAATAACAATCTGAACAGCTATTCACAGTAGATACGTTATGAGAAATCTTACATAAGTCACAAGCAATTCCCATTTTCACACCTTTCGCCTTCCTAAATTAACCCCGCAACATAAGTTCATGATCATTATTTTATTCCCATGTAAATTTGTCCCCCATTCACTTTATACGTTTTTCCACAAGATGGTTTATGCCTATTTGGCGAATCCCAACACCTGCCTATTCACGCTTAATAACTACCCCGTACATTTAGTTTTGCAATTTCGATTTTCTTAACGAACCCATAATTGGTAGCAAAACTTTGCATCAGATAACTTTAACATAGTGTCTGTAGTTACTTGTTTCGTACAGATGGAACAATTATGGTTCAATTTGCATTGAAGATTCTTCTGGACAACCAGCCGGTTTTATATTCCTGTCCATATATCCGAACCTGTTGAGCGTTCCATCGTGGGACTGGGAGAACTGGGTGGAAAGACTTTACGGTCTTAAAACTCTAAATTCCTTTAACACCCTATGGGTTCATTTACTAGCCTGGAAAGACGAATGCAAGAACAGTGCCATAGGACCTCTAATAGAATCAGTATTTTTACATAAAATGTTCATTGAGTATGTCGTAATGGTAGTTCCCCCTCATCTCAGGGGTATCGACTGGATAGAAAGATATGCCACTAAAATATTTCCCAAAGGTAAAATCATTCCACTCTAATTATAACTATTTTATTCAGTATCGTGTTTTTTCCTTGCAATCAAGTCGTAGAGACCTATCTCTTCTCATAAGATAACTAGCTAACCAATAAAACGTCTAATTAAAAGATAAAGAGGTCCCCTTAGCCTACTTTAGATATTAAGAATGTGAAATATTATTCTGAAAATTCATTTCCGAATTTTTACCCACTACACACTACCTCAAATTAATGAGGGAAAAATTGTTGCTGTTGTCACACCCCCGCCGGGAATCGAACCCGGGACCTTTGGCTTTACGCACCAATGTTCTGACCACTAAACTACGAGAGGTGACAACAACAACCACGACCAACCGACCTACAAGGTTAACGATCCGTCGAACTAATGTAACTATATACTGAATATACTATGATTAAACATACATATAATTTAGATATCTTTTAGAAGTGAGTTAGTTTAATATGAAATATTATTCTGAAAATTCATTTCTGAATTTTTTACCCACTACACGCTACCTCAAATTAATGAGGGAAAAATTGTTGCTGTTGTCACACCCCCG